AACCTAACGCTAAACCTAACGCTAACGCTCTAAACCTAACCCTAACCCTTAACCTAACCCTAAACCTAAACCTAACCCTTACCTTTATGTGAATCGGCTTGGTTTAATTTTAATTTTATTTAAATTTTTAATTTTTTTCGGCGCGCTGTGATGATGTCACATGCGCGCTTTCGTCAAGCGCGATTTTGTCCTCCGTGGTTTTGACGGGTCACGACCACGGACTGTGACTATCATCTAATATTAGAATGCCACATTTCCTACCTCAACTCTGGATGGTTAAGTCGCACCTTAAGCAGCTAAAGATGACAAAATTGTCTTGCAATGTTCTATAACCCCCCCTTCAAAATGTCTAAGTTATATTTCCTGTGCTCCTTTTTGTCAAGGATGGCAAACCATGTTTCCTCTGTCTGTGAATTCAATCTAAAATCTTATGTCAAGATGCTTTTAATCAGTAGCAGGAAATCTCACCAAATTTGTTACCAAAGCATCATAGCAAGATGGGTCTCCAGCACTTAAAGCTTATGTACTTGGGTTTGAGATGACTTCTGAAGGGCAGGCATTCAGCAATGAGAAAAATCAGTATTCTGTGGTCAGTGACCCAACTTGAATAGACAGCCGTTGTCTTAGGTTATGTAACATATGCCCTAATACTCAAATCATTGTAAACAGCATGTGCCCAGAATCTGAGATAGTGCTTTGGATATTAATTATACCTACTTCATGCGATGTGTTTCTATAAGAGTATTTAAAGCGATATGCATATACAGAGAAATGATGCGGCTTTTCCTAGGATGATGAATTGTAGTTATACATATCTAAAGTAACACCCAGATCAAGAAAGCTTTCAATTCCTAGAATCAAAATTTTAAGTGAAATGCTCACCTGTAGGAACTTCAATCTGGCAAGAAAATCATTTACATAGCTGCCAAGAGGTTTGAGGCTTGGATAAGACTTACTCATCCACATGCCTGGAATTTTTCCTTTCAAAATACTATTTACTACTTCTTCCAGTTCTGCAGACATCACCACTAAACCCTGTTTGAAATACAGAAGAAAAAAAACGTGGATTTGTCCCTCCATATCATCATAGCAGTGGTGGGATTCAAATAATTTAACAACTGGTTCTCTGCCCTAATGAACATCTGGGTAGGTGGGGCTCTGTGGTCATGTGACTGGGTGGGCTTGGCCAACTCAAGGTCCCTCAGGTCAATGGGC